ACAACAACACAAACGAGCAAAATACAAGAATGGCCGACCTGAAACTAATAAATATATGTACAATATATAATAGTGTATGCATTTCTGGATGTGCAGGGTTGCGGTGTCTACCTGTGACCGTGGAAGATCAGCTGTCAGATATTTGAGCGGTGTCCTGATGGCTTGTGGGTAGAAACTGTCCCTGCAGCTGTGGGTGTGTTTGCTCCTGTGAAGGGTGTAAGGTGGGGTCAGACCGGCTGATACGCTGTGCTGCCCGCCCTCCATAGAGCTGTCCCGCCCTGCAGCCTGCAGTCAGCTCCCGGGTCTGAGCACCATGATGTCAGGGCTCTGCTCTGTAAGCAGACGGGTCCGATGGTGGTGTCGTCTGCAAATGTAACGACGGTGTTGGAGCTGTGTGCACAGGGTGCGCAGCAGGGGCTGGGCACACCTCCCCGGGGGGCACCCTGGGAGTGAGAGCTGTGTTTGACATGCCGTCACCTCTAACAGATCAAGTTAAAGCGGAGCTGTTTCACAGTCATCGGCCTGCTGAGGGTTGGATTGTCCTCCGCACAGCGCGGCCTGCGGGCCTCCACCCGACTCAGACTACAGCGTCCCCCCACAGCCAGCCTGGTTCTGTCACTTATATCTGCCAGCTCTTCACTTCATTCCTGTTCCAGAGTCCCATCAATGCAACAGAACAAAAACTTGTAATAGCAAAACTGTAAATGCAAAATCCACATAGTCATAAATGATGGAGTACAGCGTGTTCAGGTTAAACTGATCAGGCTGTCAGCTTCATCCTCAGCCTCACACTTGTTTTTGGAGGTTAAAGGGTGGCAGTCCCAGCTGACCGTCCCCTTGCTCTTATTCTGAAAGCTCAAACCCTGCTCAGCAGCTTCCTGTCCCCCAGACAGTGTAAACAGAGCTCTGATGACCCAATGCAGGTCATCGTCAGGTAATTTCAGGCTGTAAGAGTCCTGACTGAGTTCAGCTCCAGCTCGGGAACGAGTGCGACGGCTTCCC